GAGAAGCATTGATGGTCAAAAATTTGCCCGAACAGCTTTCGATCACAATGAATGAATGTATTAAGATCATAAACATAATTAAATCGAGAGCCTTAAATTCGCGAATCTTTGGAATACTCTGTGAAGAAATGGGAAGCGAACATGAATCCTTACTGTTTTATACAGAAGTTCGTTGGTTATCCCGGGGAAAAGTTTTAGCTCGACTGTTTGAACTTCGCTACGAAGTGCGTGAGTTTCTTTCAAGTCAAGATATGTACGATCTATGCCAGCACCTTCATGATGAATACTGGATAGCCAAACTTGCATACATGGCGGATATATTCGAACATCTGAATGAACTTAATAAAAAAATGCAAGGACGGAATGAAAATATATTGACGTGCTCCGATAAATTACAAGGGTTCAAAAAGAAACTTGAACTTTGGCAGGAACAGTTGCAAAAAGGATGTCTAGAAATGTATCACAGGACCAACCACAGTACGATCGAAAACAAGCAGTTGATTGTGGATTTGGCCCAACAACATTTAAGTATGCTTCAACAAAAATTTGAATACTATTTCCATTCTATCAACACGGAACAATACAATTGGATTCGAAATCCTTTCGCAACCAATGCAATAAGTTCCACGGAAGCACTGCCATTGCAAACTCGAGAGGAGTTCACAGAATTAAGTAATGATATGACCCTAAAACTTAAATTCGACGAAGTTCCGTTAGATGTTTTCTGGATTTCCATCAAGACATAATATCCACGCATCACCGACAAGGCCATCTTCACACTACTTCCGTTTTCCACAACATATTTATGTGAGCAAAGTTTTTCAACGCTTGTATTAATTAAAAATGATAAACGGTCATGCTTAAAAGATCTTGACCAAGAAATGAGAGTTGCGCTGTCTAAAATTGAGCCGAATATAAAACTTTTGTGTTCAACGAAGCAAGCGCAGGTATCACATTAATCAGTCATCATCATGTCAAAATATTTATTACTATTGACGTGTCAACAGAAGTAAATTTAGTATACCTACCTGTCCTACCTAGTATTTAGTATAGTTCTCATGTATGTACCTATTTGTATTTTTCATTCTATCTGAATAATAAAAAAAAATAAAAAAAAAATATGTATTATATCCTGAGTGAAAATTTTGATGCCCCAAATCTGAAAGGGGCTTCTTCACATTTTAAAACAATAAAAAAAACTAAGGTAGTTTGGACATCCATAAATAATTAGTATACATGGAGTGAACTGACCCCCGACCTAGCTACGCCACTGCTATAAATATATTTTAGATTTTGGTGTGCCACGAAATTCTAGGGAGCAGTTTGGTGTGCCTCAGATGAGGAAAGGTTGCGGAGCACTGCTCTACATGACTTCTCTGTTTTTGTATTTAACTTTGGGGAACTAAATTGTATTCAGCGTCCAGTATTGAGTCAAGAGAAATATGGTCGTCACTTGAGAGTAGAATATGAGAATCGATTCAAAATGGCTCCAATAACTTTGAAGGTTATTCTCTTCGAATTGTAGTTTTTATATTTATTTATATTAGTAATATGTGCTGAACGGGTTACCTAACTCCTAATTGAAAATTAACTATTTCTTGTTAGTAAAAGTACAGCAGAGTAGCTCTATCATCAATATAATCAACAATTAAAATAATAATAATAATTTCAATATTACAGTATTTCTTGCTTTTTTCAACCGAAAAAGTTCTCAATCCATCGAATTTTTTTATGTATGGTTATGAAATTCCTAATCCGACCCTGCCTGTGTAAGCTCGACCTTCAGATGGAAACCGACTCATGCTCGAGGCGACGGAATGCCTGCCGCTGATGTACTAGAAACAGCTGGAACGGCGGGGAGTGCCGTTTAGTCATACAAATGGAATGTTCGAGAGCCTCTCGTATCTTCTAGTAGCGGAGTTGGATTAATATAAATAGCCGACGTATCGGCGCCCAGTTCAGTTGTATATAGACAGTTTGAATATAGAACATTGTATTGGAAAGTTAAAGTGTAAGAAATAAATTAGAATTGTTAGTTAGTATTATATAAAGTAAATAGTACGTCTGAAATAAATTGTTAATAGTGTGTTTTTAAATAAACTAAAAATAAATTAGACTTTCGTCACAGTATGTTCAGCGATCGCTTTAGCGATAACTCATTACTCTTCATTTTCGGAGTCGGTTTTTTAAAATCACTTTTATAACGTGTAACTTGTTTTAAATGTTATTTTTGAAAACATTTTCCTGCGACTTTTATTCGAAGCAAATATGTAGTAAACCAAATTATAGAAGATCTATTATTGAACTATCATTGTCTGTAAAAAGGTAATTCATAGAATATTATTTGTGACTTGACCAAGTTAACGAGATATTCATAAGCTCCTAAAGTATTTAGTATAGTAGGCACCAGTTTGTATGTAGAAAAAATATAATTCATCTCATGGTTATGAGTTATGATATTAACCTGGAGTTGTGTTTTTGTGAGCATAGCTTAGATAGTGCTAGAAATTATGATCACATTATAATTACTCAGCTTATAGGATAATATACTATATTATACTATTATTTGTTAAGGGCCATTTCTATCGCTAGTCGTTAATAAATAACCAAGCTTAAAATTACATTTTTAATGGAAAAATGTCATTTTAATCCTGGTTTACTTCTAAAACCACTAGCGGTGGAAGTATTAACGTTGACTAAGGGCCCTATTCAGTAATTTATCGTTTATGGACGACATCGTTAAGCTAACGACAGTTCAACCAACGACTTTTATAACGATAATTTTTGAAACTCTATTCAATAACAAAGTCGTTACGTTGTTTCTAGTTACCAAATCTGAACGATGATTTCTAGTAAGTTGGTATTATAATTTAGTGTTTTGTGATAAAAGAACGTATGTTGATGATTATACCGGGTGTTTAAATTAAAGTTTTACAGTTAAATGACAAAAATATGAATTTTATAAAAAAAAAGTATCAGACAAAAGTTTTATAGTTTTCTAGGGGAAACATTTTGGCCAAATTATTTTTTTTATAGCTGACCATAATATGGCCATATCGAGGTGGATTTTTTTTCATATTGGAACCCTCTATGTTTTTACATAGGTATTCTTAGAGTTCATAAAAAAATAAGAAACTTCTAAATAAAACATTTTTTTATTGGATTTCTACTTATTGAGTAACACCCAAAATAAAACTATAAAACTTTGTTTTTTTTTTTTATAAAAGGCGGTATTTAACTGTAACCCTTTAATTTGAACACCCGGTATAGTTGACATTTTTTTAGGAACGTAAAATAAAAATTCAACCAGTAGATATATTCATTTGTTTTTCAGAATATATTAATTATTGTTCTTAACCTACAACACGATCAGGGGGTCGATTCTCGATTCGTAGGAATTCTGTTTCTCGCGGGCCATTTTTGCTGGTCGTATTGTATGTAGGGCTTATTAAAATGAGTATGGATATATTAAAAAAAACTGAGAACTATTCCAAAAGAATACAAAAAACAACTCGAGAACAGTACAAGATGTATTTTTTATTGGATTTGAAAGACAAACCAAATTTCTGTAGGTTACGGAGAAGTATAGGTACTTCCATAGGTTTTGTTACTGTTTCGCAGTGCTACTTTAGGAACAGCACTGTTAATAAGAATCCAATAGTAAATGGTTGAATGGGCAATCCTAACTTTGAATCAGATTTATTTTTAAAATAATTAAATAAATTAGAAAAAAATTCCTTACAAATTTTACTTGCTGTATTAGGTATATGGCAATTTAGTTGTAAAATTTGTAAAAAAGTGTTTTTATTATTTAGAACATATCCTGATTCATAATAAAAAATGAGAGGGAATGCAAAAATCACTATAACGACACTTCATATTATTAACGACAGCTCTTTGGCTATCGTTGATGAACGACAATTTTACAACCATATTTGTCTATTTTCAACGACAATCGTTGTCTACTGAATAAGAAAAGTCGTCTGTGAACGATTATCGTCTATTAACGACGTCGTTCAGAGTTACTGAATAGGCCCCTAAGACTGAATAACTGACCACAAAACTAATTATGAAGAGTGATCCACAAAAAATGATTCTAAAGTAGGACATGATCGACAAAGACAGATATTTTTAGAGGGAATGATGTCCGTGATAACTATACGTAAGGCTCAGAATTAAATGGGAATTGATGCCTCCGAGCAAATATAATTGTACGGAGATTGATACTTAAAAAGAAGAAGAATTATATACAGTAAGACATGCGTTTATTTTTTCATAGCCTACTATATAACATTTTTCTAATGTTGACATATAAAGTGACATTTTTTGTAATCGCAGCAAGTATCAAAATAATCTACTTTACGTAACCAGTTGCATAATGTTGAACATTATGAAACTGGTTTCGAAAAATTCATTTGTCACCAGTTGCAAAAATAAAACAAATAAAATTGAACCTTTTTTTAAATCAATAATATACATTATTGTTTTGGTCCTTATTTTCCATTCTAAATCATCACAAAATAATTAAAACACAATACACGACAAAATAACTCATCTTTTTCAAAACTAAATAATTAACTTTAATCAAGCCTTATATAAACACACTACAAGTCGTTGAGAATAAATAAATAATGTTATATTATATTTGTCAATAAAATGATGCATATGCAACTAACAATACAAGAAAGTAGTAATATTGGTTGCCTAGATGTTCAGTTATTTCTTACCAAAACACAATTTGATAAATCTGCTCAAAATTAGAAAAAATATTGTATGTGACACGTTACGAAATACCGTTTTATGCAACTCGTTAGATATTCACTTGTTACATAAAATAAGATATTTCGTAGCTAGTTTCATAAATAGCCATTTTATGGGTCCTCCATATTAATTTAAATGAATAAAATACCGGTGATAAATGAATCTGGCAACAATGCTAATTGTTAGGTTTTTTTAAAAGGTTTTGTTGGTGAACCTGGCGCCTGACCTCATGTGTCAATTGTCATTTTAGTTGTCAACTTGTCATCAATCAACTGCAAAAAACCGATGAATTGTCACGATCTCCGATTGCCTTCAAAAATATAATTAACAATTGTGAGCGTAATATATTTTTATCTTATTTGTAATTTTATGTTCTAAAGAATTCAGCAGAGTCCCAGAATGGGGGACTCTCTAGAAGCTACGGAAACTAGTCACGAAACGCAAAATGTGGCAGTGGTAGACTTTACGGCTTTTACGAATTTTATTTTGAAAGCAGCTACTGTTCTTTTACCAGAAGATGATGGTCAAGCGGAACCGGCAAATTTAGTAGCGGCTATCGACGACAAAACTAATCAGGAGTGCATCAGGAAATTTATTAGTGATCCTCAAATTACTACATTATATGTCCAAAGAAACTCTTCCAAAGGTAAATATGACTCATAAATTTACATATTCGGTAATCGTTATTAGCAGATCAATGTCATGTTTTGTTGCTAATCTGAGACAGTAAAAAAATTCTTGTCTGTTTTTTTTTTTATAAAAATTAATTTTTTATCAATTTTTATTATTTACAACAGATACACAAACTACCGTAGCATCGTTCATAAAATAAGTACGTAGTAGTAATCTGAAGCCTTTGATCTTCTTTGAACATTATTTTGCCTGCTAATTCCTGGTAAATAAGTGTTGGCTGTCGCTCTTAGGAACAGTTACAGAGCTACATCCCCTGCCGGATACCTGCTGAGGATTTAGACAGGGAGAAAGGAACTCGACGGCATCTGCTCATGTGATTCTGCTAGTCTTGTTTATGTACGATGAACGTAGTATATCCAATTTTCACAATTTTTTGCAAAAACACTAATTTGATGTCTACAAACACAAATTTTTTTTTGGGAACCACTCAAATTTCAACATTTTATGGCTAAATTATGTAGGGCTTTATCTTTTAATTTTGAAAGGTTCCTTTTCTCTATTAAGTATTTAAACAATTAATCATATAATAAGCCTCTAAGGGTTGGAGACCACATAACTTTTCTATGCAATTACTCTAGGCCATACTGCATTGTTGAGAGTTCAGAGGAAAGCCAAAGTATGTTTCAAAAAAGTTGAAGGATCTAGCCCTAATGAGTAAGGCAGTGATTGTTTCAAAATCTACTGTCAGTGGAGCACAAATTACGTCATCACTAATATAGCATTATTTGCAGTGTAACCCCTCTCTACATACACTCTGTCCTTTCAAGTAGCTAGCCAATTTTATATCCAAATGGGTCAAACTATTATAGAGATAAATTATGAACAAAAGATACAATGCTGTCCACAAGTGGATAGAGTAGGGTAGGTTCAGGTAGCTCTCACTCTATTTGGAAATTATTAAATTAAAAAAAATTGGATACCTGTATACTTGATACTAGCAGGCTGATTGAGCTAAAAGAAAGTTACTTTGTCCTTACCAATAAACCTAATTAAACATATGTTCTGTTGGGCTGAGCCTACCCTCCTATCCTGTTTTTAGTTATTAGTCACTAAGTACTGGTTTAGTATGTTCTTGGCCTGGACACCTCAGGGGGTCGATTCTCGACTTGTAGGAACCTTTTCCTATAGGAATTTGTGACACTTTCCTATATGTAGGAAACTGTCATAAATTTTCGATGTATATAAAAATGTCAAAAATTCCTATAGGAAAATATTCCTACGAGTCGAGAATCGACCCCCAGGAGGAAAAGCAGAGTTATTCCTGAAAAAAATTACTTTACAAAACTTATATTGTCTCATTCTATTCCAATTTTTTAAAGAATGCATGTCAGAGGGGCTGCTGTATATTTCTTGGCTACTCTGTTATTCTTTCTCACTATGCTCACTTCTCAATCCGGAATTTAGTAAGTCATTGTTTGATTCACTTATTTATTGTTTGAATTAACAAGCCATAATTTCAAAAACACAAAGTAAATATACATTCTATAGAATTAGAGTGAGATGTTACTTTATTGTAAAGCTTGAAGAGCTTATTCTTTAGTTTTAACTCTTCGAGCTACTTCCAGAAATTGTATTATCATTAAATTAAGTAAAAATACATTACAATTCAGGCTCAAGGCTACATGTCAAAGATTTCTCTAATCTATAAAAATGGATGAAAATTTCCCATTTCAATATTACCAACTCTATCAAAATAGATTGAAAAAACTTTGAATAGACTCTTTGAATAGCTAAATAAATATAGCCTACTGGACAAACAACAACTTGGCTTCATAAAGAATCTTTCTACACAAACCTCAGGCCTTCGAAAGTGGAGATATGCTATCTGTCATCTGCTGTGAACCCTCGAAGGCTCTTGACTGTGTCAATTATAATTTCTTGTTAAATAAACTTTTTTACTATGGTATAAGGAGCAAGGGACTAGGCTGGCTATTAAACTATTTAATAAATTGATATCAAATTGTAACTATGGCCCATAAGAGATCGGAAACAAAAATAATACAAGCGGGCGTACCACAGTGATCAATTCTTATTCCGAGTACATTTCTTTAAAAAGTGAACATGAACATTTTGTCAGTTTCTTATAAGTATGGGGTGACAATTTAAAAACTTGCAATGACCTATATCTCATGAACTTAAGATTATACTAGATGTACAATGACTTATATCTCATAAACTTAAGATGATACCATAGAAGTAAAACCTAATAATAACAATTTATATTGTAATTAAATATTTGATTCAGATAAACGAGCATTATTCTTTTTAAATAGTTTTTAATATTTATGTACTATTGAACCACCCTGTATGAAAATAATTTTTACTAGCTTTCCAATGATATATGATATGAAGGGGGTTGCTATTTTTGTGGAGGTAGATGGTGCATAGAAGTGTTGGTATAAAGCAATTGTTTTATATTTAACTGGGGGCAATATCATATAATGTATGAATTGTCGAACTGCTAATTTGAAATTTATTTTTTTTTAACGTTCATAAAATATGTCAAATTACTTTAAAACTAATATAATATTTTAGAGAAATCATTTATACAACAATAATTATAGAGAATAGCATCATAAATAACTCTTATTTATAGGGGATAAACCCCATTACAAAGCAAAACACATATAAATTATACAAATAAGTGTACATTAAAAAATACATGTAAGAAGAAAAAAAAAGTTAGAATTATAATTAAATAAAAGTCAAATAAGTTTTAGATTAACAAATGTGTTTTAAATAGTGTAAATCAGTCTATATTTATTTAATATTTAATCCACTGCATCGTACAGATTGCCTTAAATTTATTAAAAGAAATGCCTGTAACCTCAAGATTCAATTGCCCTCAATGGTTCTTGCAATAGGTAAATGCATGCCATTGTTTGTATTGTGAAATGGAACATATTTAATTGCCTAAGGACTCTAATTGGGAATATTGAAAAAATCATTCCTAAGAGTTTCGGGCATACGACTAGACCATTGAAATAATGTTCTTCTCTAATTGAAATAATGTTCTTCTCTAATCATAAATCACAGAAATATACCTTAAATTAGAAAAATTACCCCCTATATAGTACCTCCCAGAGGCTCCAAGTGTACCCAAAATCTAATCAGCTCACCTCAGGATGGATTAAAGCTTAAGGCTGGGAAATGGACTAAAAATGGCGGCCGTTTTTGTCATTTTACAACGTGTTACTAAATCATGCTTTTTAGATTAATAAAGAAAAATTACAAGGAAATTGAGTTATAATTATAAACAGAAATGTTGTAAGAATGAATTGAATATACACATATTCGATAATAACTAATCATAATTTCAAATTATCATTAAAAACTTGAAAAATTTTATTGCAAGGATGATTAAGCAAATTATTTTCAATGAATTCTCTATGATTTTTTATTAACTATCCTACAATATGAAGGCTGTCGGTCTAATAATTATTACAAAAAGCATGATTTCAATTTGCAAATTTTGACACAATTTTTAAAATTGACGCGTTAATTATCATGTCATTTTAGTACACCGTGTTCACCACCAATGCGACATGCAAGGCTGAGTTAACATATGCATTGAAACTTGGGCGACAACTAATGGTTGCCAATCAGAAAAGTAAACGTCTTATGTCAAATTATTGGTTGACCAATTAGAAATGCAAACGGCATGTCAAATGATTTTAAAGTACAATACGAACCGTTGCTCAAATATACTTGTATATGATAATCAATGATAATACGACGTTGCCGTTCTATGTATTTTTACAATGGTTTTAAAGATATTTATTGAGTGACAAAATCTTTCTCCATGGACAAAATCGGGAAGATTTTAAGGCACAAGCACTTTTGTTAGTTGACAAGAATTAAAAAAAATATAGTTTTGTACGTTCTCAAACCTGCTTTATACAGTGTGTGTCAATAAGTTGGATCCATATGTGATTTTTTTTTGATATAACGATTGGAAAAAACATCGTAAACCATCATCTCTGGTTATTTAAAAACTTAAACCAACCCATATTAAATTTAACTACTGGATTTAGTTCTGTCAGTCTCGTTTAAAAAAGGATATTTGAGCGATTTTTCAAAATTATTACGAATTTGACAGGTAAGTAACGTACGTAACCAACTTTTTAAATAATCAGAGGTAAATGACGTTTTTTCCGGTCATAATATTAAAACAAATTGTCATATATATATGGACCTTACTTTATTGCACCCACTGTATGTCATATACGTGTCATGAAGACTAATTTTAAGAATTGAAGCCAATGAAGTGGTGTATAAATGGATATTTTTCTGCAATATTAATTTTGAGTTTGTTTGAAGTACCTAGTTATTATAATCAGTTTTATTAATGATAATTGTATCGGTTTATGAGCAATTTTAATAAAAACTAATTCAAAACTTGCAAAAATACCGAAATATTTTTGTTTATTGCAAAAATAATTATTGATAGGACATGGGTGGAAGGAAATATAAAAAATAATTAGACATAAAACAAAAAGTAGTTTATTAGAAAAAAGATTATAGTATATTACAATAAAAACAACCTAAAATATAATACAGATGTCAAAAATATTGGAAATGAATCCTTTATATATCTTTCAACATTAAATTTTTGTTACACTTTTATTCCTTGAGGAACTTTGAAACCAAACGACTTTTGGGAACACATGACTTTCCAATTGCACATCTTATTTCTCTTCCTCTTTCTACTCGGGACATTTGTATGATGCCCCATATTTTATAAGGTAAAAGTTTATTCACTAACTACTAAATATCCTTATAACTAATGAAGTCTTATAAAAGTAACAAAATCACGAATAACGAAAAAGCACAAAAAAATAACAACACCCACTCAAAAATCTGCCAAAATTCAAACACGAAAAACGAACTGTTTACGTTTTGTCGTTTAGACTTCAATCCTTCGACATTTGAGTTTTTTGTCTTGTCAGTTGC